GATGTATATTTGCACTTTAAAAGAAAATTTATCTGACTTTTACCTTTAAAGTCAGTACCTCTGATGTAGTACGGGGGATGGCTACACTAGACTGGCACACCTATCAAGTACATGGTTTGAATTGGGGGTTGCAAATGTTTTTGAATGTCTGCTGTTAATTCCTGTGAGTAAAAATCTTCCTCCAATAGACTCATCTCATCAGAAGCTGAGAGTAGAGAGGAAATTGGTCAAGGGTAAAAAGGGCCAATCAATCAGCCTAGGAGCCCCCCTACCCTGACTCCATGTCACCTCCATTCAAGTGTTACTTTATACTCCTCTCCCATTTCTGGGTCCCACCTCTACCTTTTGTTGTTGTTAAGTGCCATCAAGTAGGTTCCGACTCATAAAGACCCTGAATATGGATTCCAAGGAGCAGCTGTTGAGTTTGAACTGCCATCGTTGCGGTGGACAAGTCAGTGCTTATCCTATATTGCCACACCTGGAAATTCACTCAATGCTCTACCAGGCTTGTTTGCCTCTGAGTTTAACTTAAAATTATAGACAACAGGCAATCCCCATAAGATTGTTTGAGGATTAAATTAGACAATACATAAGATCATTTGGAAATAGTGTCTGGCATGGCAAAAATATTCAGTCAACATCATTATTAGTATTAGTCTATCAGACAGACAAACTGACTATAGCAAGTAGACTAATCTTATTATTAAGTTTATTTATTTCTGTCAGGTGTTGCAAAATACCTTTAGGGGCTGACTGACAGTTATTCTTAACTTTGAAGTATTTAAAACTAAATATTTAGGGTCCAAGTATATACCTTATTTATGGATCATTTATCTTACTTAAATAATAGCATGATGACTAGTTTAAAATGTCTCTTATTCTTACAATTCATCTTCATTGTGAGTTTTAGAAGCTGGTCATAGATCATGGCTCAGTTCCTCAGATAATGCCAACTACAAAGTGCATTTAGTTTCTTATATTGATGTTTCATGAATACAAAGTCTTCACAATCAGAATTCCCAAAAAGAAAATCACCCACAAATTCTTTGAAGGGGGTCACATATCATTACTTTGGTGGTGGTGTGCCGTGGAATTGGTTTCAACTCATAGAAACCCTGCATAGGGTTTCCAAAGCTGTAAATCTTTATGGGAGCAGAAAGCCACATCTTTTTCCCGTGGAACTGCTGGTAATTTCGAACTGCTGACCTTGAGGTTAGCAGCCTGACTTGTAATCACTACGCTTCTAGAGCTCCTCTAGTGAAGATAAATGCCTTGTTGTGCTTACTTGAGCAGTATAAGTTGGCAATAAATAAACAGAGTTTGCTTTTGATTGAAAATGCAAACCACAGATATACAAACAAGGTTGTTAAGATGTCCCATAGAGAATCAAAAAAACTATTTATTTCCTTTCCATTTCTCTTGGTCCAAATGTATCTTTCCTCACAATTCACTTTGTACCCTGTAGGTGCGGTGGAATGAACCAGGTGCCCAATATTCCTTAGTTCAATTGGAGAAGCTGCCAAGGTTCCCATTTTCAATTGACCATGAAGGAGATATTTATGTGACTCAGCCCTTGGACAGAGAAGAAAAGGATTCAGTGAGTAAAATGGAAACAGTTTCATCGGTGACAAGAAAAATTCCTGTGCCCATCTGCAGCTGAGAACACAATTGAGTATACTAAAAAAAAAGTGTTCTGAACTCCAGCATATTATTGATTTAAAAAAAAAACTTGATAATTTAACAGTGCTAAATTAATGGAAAATAAGGAAGTAAATTAAACAGAAATGAAACTGCCTTTTAAAGGGGATTAGTGAGGGAGTCACATCTTAATTCTGACCTTCTTGTTGTAGTATGTTTTTAATGCAGTTGCAAAAGATGAGCATGGAAACCGCCTTGCATCGCCACTGAAAATTTCTGTTGAAGTTATAGACATTAATGATAATCCACCTACATGCACATCTCTAAAGACTGTATTTGAGGTCCAGGAAAATGAAAAAATAGGTAAGAAATGAGAGTTGTTTAAATGCTATGCTAACTACCCTGCTTATCTTAACTCTGTAATTCCTTTTTCCTCTCTGTCTGGTAAAATATGGGCAGGTAGACCTGATCAGGGATCGATTGTCCAGGTCTAGAGGGTGAAAACACCTTAGAAGTCACCCAGGTACAGTATTTCAGCTCATCTGGGTCCAGTTGCTGTCAAGTTGATTCTGACTCATGGAGATTCCATGAGTTGCAGACTAAAACTGTCCTCTACAGGGTTTTAAAGGCTGTGATATTTGGAAAGCGATTGCCAGGACTTTCTTCCAAAGTGCCTCTGAGTTGTTTAAACAACCAACCTTTTGGTTATTGTGCCATCCAGGGACTCAGAATATCTGCAGAGTCCTCTTAAATTGGAGCTTTTCTAATGATCACAAGCATTATTACCATCACGACAACTACTGTTACCAAAATTACCGTTATTACTCCCACCCTAAACACTAACATTAATACAGTAACCATTTACAGTGGCATTCTTTTGGGTTGTTGTTGTTGTTAAGTGCCATCGAGTCAGTTCCGACCCATAGCGACCCTGTACAGGGTTTCCAAGGGTGTAAATCTTTATGGGAGTAGAAAGCCTCATCTTTCTCCCACGGAGCGGCTGGTAGTTTCGAACTGCTGACCTTAAGGTTCGCAGCCCAATTCGTAACCACTATGCTACCAGAGCTCCTATTGGGTAATATACCCCCAAAACTCTCACTGCCATCAAGTCAATTCTGACTCATAGTGACCCTATGTAGGATTTCCAAGGAGTAGCTGGTGAGTTTGAACCGCCAACTTTATGGTTCAAACTGAGTGCTTATCCAACAGTGCCACACCAAAACTCCTTATATACATACACAAGAATATTTAATTTGCAAAATTTCCCCATAAATGATCTTCTCTTGACTTCTAATAAACTCATTAAAAAGAAATTAAAAACTGCTTCCATGGAGTTGATTTTGACTCACAGAGATACTATAGAACAGAGTAGAACTGCTCCTTAGCATTTCCAAGACTGTAAATGTTTATGGGAGCAGACAACCTCATCTTTCTCCCACGCGGTTGCTGATGGGTTTGAACTGCTGACCTTGTGGATAGCTGCCCAGTGCTTAACTTACTGTACCACCAGTGCTCCTTCTCTATAGAAAACTCATACTAATTCAACAGACTGGTCCATAACGGTGATACCTTATTTGTTTTTGTTCTTTTGGTGTTGACTTGCCTTTTGTTTTTCAATGTGTTGCCATGATAACTTCATTTTTAAGAGGGACAACTGGGACAAGAATGTTATGATTTTGGGGAGCTTTATGACTTCTCTGAGTTTGGGATGACCTCTTTGTGTTTCTCAGTGGTGTTGGTCCCATTGGCTGAGCAGGCTGGTGCTTCTTGGAATGTTTTGATCTGTTGTTTGATGAAAGTTTCAGGTGTTCACAAGCTCCACCAGTCTAGTTGCCATCACATTGATTCAAACTCATGGCAAGCACATGTGAGTCTGAGTAGAATTGTGTTCACAGTTTTCAAGGGCTGTTTGTTTCAAAAGTGATTGTCCTTTTCATTTTCCAAGGTGACTTGGGTGAACTTGAACCTCCAACTTTTCCATTAGCAGCCAAGTGTGCTAACCGTTTGTGTCACCCAGGGACTCAGCTTACAAGCTCAGTAGGTTCTTATGACTATCATTTCTAGGGCTTTGCTGCCCTTATATAAAATGATATCCTTATATCATTTTCTTTGGCTGTCTTTGCTCCTCCACTCTTCACCTTGATACCATGGGTGTCATCCTGGTGGGTTGCTTGGTGAGTACGGCTTCAGTGGTTTGTTTGCTTACTTTATGTTCAGTATTTTTCTTCTTTTTTGCTGTCATGGAAGCTTCTTGACAGTGTGTTCTGCTCATGTCCCGTCTCTTGCCACTACAGACAACTGAAGGGCAGTTTAGAGGGTTTTAGTTAATTATAAGGAAAAATCTTTTAACAATGACAATTGTGTACAGTAGAATGGATAGCCAAGAAACATTTGTGATATCACCCTTTTCGGAAATCTATGTGTGACACTGAAGAAAAACTGAAAAACTGTGAAGACAGTTCTAGATGATATCTCAAGTCTTTTTGCATTGGTCGTAACATTTTTTTTTTTTTTTTACTTTTTATTGTGAAATGAGTAAAGGTTTACAGACAAGATCATCAGTTTTACATTCAATAAATCATACACTTTGTTTCATCTCAATGATTTCAATCCCCTCCATGCAACGACAGTTATCCTGCTTCCTCCCTGCGGTTCCTACTTCCATTCTACCCACCTTCCCATCCCTTCTCAACTGTTTTCTTAGTAAATGTTGCCTTTTTCATTTTGAATGATTGGCCATTCTATGGTGGGCATACTTTACTGGTGTTGTTGTTCCTCCTCTATGCTTGTCTACTGTTTGAAAGTTGGATTGTGAGGGTGAGTTCCTTTCCAGACCTGAAGGATGGTCTAGGACCATATTCTCAGGTCTTCCAGTCTCTTTCTGATCAGTAAGCCTAGTCTTTATGTATACATATATAATTTTGAGTTTCATTGTACATTTTCTCCCACTCTATCCAAGAACTTCTATTGTGATCCCTTTCCATGATAGTGGTAGCTGAGCACCATCTAGTTCTGGTCTTAGAGTTGTAATTAGGCCTAACATTTAGAGTATATTAGTTATCTATTGTTGCATGAAGTACTGCCCCCAAATCTAGAAACTTAAAACAAACATTTATTATTTCCCTATGATTGTGGGTTCGGTTCAGCTAGGTATTTCTGAGTTACTGAGATTACTGAGAAAGAATTGATGAAATAAATGAAAGCCAGATTTTATATAACCTAGTGTGGCTCTGTTGAATAACAACAAAGTCAGAGGTTCAAACCCACCAGCCTCTCCTCAGAAACCCTATACAGCGTCGCTATGAGTTGGAACCGACTGGGCAGCACTTAGCAACAAAAACAACAATCTCTGAAGTGACAATCCATCACTTTTGCCAGATTGTATTCATTAGAAGCAAGTCACTAGGCCTATCCCATAATCAAAATGAGAGGGGGTGATGTGAAGGTGTGAACACTGGAAGGAGTGGATCACTGGAAGCCCTTTACGGAGCCTTGTGGTGGAGGACCAGTTCTGTACCTTGACTGTAGTGGTGTTTACATGAATCACTGGCACTATAGGTTGAGCACTGGACTGCTAGCCACAAGGTCAGCAATTCAAGCCCACCAGCCACTCCTTGGAAACCCTACACAGGGTCACTATGAGTCAGAACAATTTAACAGCACTTAACAACAATAACAACAACCTCATTTGAGGAAAAGACAGAACTAATTTCTATAGGAAGTCATTATTGGTAGAATAAATTTTTCTAGGGATGCAGTATGCTATTTACCTTTCTAAAAATGTGATTCTACTTTGTAAAAATATTTCACAAAGTCTTGCATGGTGAACTTAATGAATCAGGAATTCCTATAAATCAATACATATTAGTTGCGTATATTCTATTTGTTGTTGTTAAGTGCTGTCAAGTCTGTTTCAACTCATAAAGACCCTGTATAGGGTTTTTGAGGAGCCACTGATGGTTTAAATAGCTAACCTTTCAGTTAGCAGTTCAGTGCTTATCCTACAGCGCCATGCCAGGACTTCATAAACTTAGCCTAAAAGGGGTACAAGACACATGCACTATTCATTGAGGGCTTACCTTATAGCTGAATAGATAAGACACACTTAGATGAGAACATAAAGGAACAAAACTGCAACACAATACAAAGTTATTGCTCAGTATATTCACAGCCTTCTACTTGGTGTCTTTTATTAGAAACTTGTAGGACCCATGTGCCAAAATCCTAGCAAAACTAATATTTCTTAAATCCCACTTGCTACCAATTGCTATATGTTTAATGTGAAATCTAGTCTCTTATAAACGTTCCACCTTCCCAAAGTATTTCTGGATGTCCCCAACAGGTGTCATATATGTCCCTGAATCAATCTGGGTATCATTTATTCCTGACCTCTGTCATTCAGAGATATGACACTCCTGTCACTTATGGCATGACTGATCCGCAAAGCCTCTGCCTCCACATAGGGGCATCCCAAGCAGAGTGCCCTTGGTCGCTGAAGTCAGCAGTTCTCATAGTGTCTCTCCTTGCTAGAAGCTTCCCCTGAAGTGAGGGGAGGCCTGTGCCCTTTGCGTTATCTCACTTACTTGGGGAGTGGAGAAGTCTAAAGCAGGGATGTTCAGACACCAAAGAATCACAGATTCAGAAAGACACTCTATTATTCTTCCATATAGATATTTTTCTCACAAGGGCACACACATGCCACAAAAGTAAGTTGGTCACAATAGATTAAAAAATAGCAGTTGCCAGTATGTGTTTCCCTGTTCCTATCGATCATGACTCACAGGCCATGATGCACAACTGTAGGTCCAACTCCATTATAGACATCTCTCCCCTCAAGAGCCTCACAAAGTTCTTGATTTTTATATGAATCAGTGGATGTAAAGGAATAAAGGGTGGTTGGGGGAAGGATAACCAAACTCCAATGGGATGCATTTAAGTTTAGCTCCAAGGTAGGTCTCTTGCTACATGTTATTTGTTATTGTTAAGTGCTGTTGAGTTGACTCATAGTGACCCTCTATAAAATTTCCAAGGAGTACGTCGTGGTTTTGAACTGCCATCCTTGTGGTTAGCAGTCCAATGCTTATCTTAGAGTATCACACCAGGATTCCTGCCTATAAAGAGATCCACAATTCCCATTTCACAGAACAAGATGATCCAAACCTACTGCAGCTCACCCAGAGCTAGGTGGAGCAGAGAATCATGGCTCCTGTCTTCTCATGGAACTGGGACACTCACGGCAATACTTAGGATCATAAATTGCAGCCTGGCACAGAGGAGGCACACTGTTCTTTGCCCTGTGTTATCTTTTGGGTGGAATCAATCTCTGTGATTGTTTCTTAAAGTTGCATAAAAGCAACCTCAGGAGGTTGGTTCTCCCTATTTAACCACATGATGTGCCATAGAAAGGATTGGTGGTGGTGGTGTGCCGTGGAGTCGGTTCCAACTCATAGCAACCCTGTATAGGAGTTCTGAGACTATAAATGTTTATGGGAGCAGAAAGCCTCATCTTTTCCTCATGGAATAGCTAGTAGTTTTGAAACGCTGACTTTGAGGTTAGCAGTCCGACTCGTAATTACTAAGAAGAACCAAAATAAACTGAAGGACCCTGGTCTGCTACCCAAAGTAAGTTACAGTATTTTCTAGGACCCAGTTTACCCAATGAAGCCATTTTTGATATATTAAATAGACCTTGTAACAGATGGATTTTCTTCTTTCCTTTTCCACAGGTAGCTCTATTGGGACTTTTATTGCCCATGATATGGATAAAGAAAACACCGCCAGCAGTCTTTTACGGTACACAATTGTGGACCAAATACCCAAGAGTCCCAAAGATGGACTCTTCCTTGTCCAGACCTATACTGGAGTGTTCCAGTTAGCTCAGCAATCCTTGAAGAAACAAGATGCTCCTCAGTACAACATCACAGTAGAGGTGTCCGACAAAGGTTAGTATCACAATTGTTTTCCTTCTAGTTTGACTTTTTAGGTTGTTTTAATTCCTGGGTATATTACAAGATAATGTCATTTGAGAGTTCTTTGGTGTCTCTGCCAAGCAGATGTGCAACACAGAAGCAATGCTGGTTCATTATAAAGGCCAGAGTTGTGTCAGGTAACACTGCTGTATTGCTCCCAACCATTTAAGAAGGTATGAAGAAGGGATTAAGTGTACCAGGATTTTATTAGGGAAAATGACTATGAGAAAAAAATAGAGAGGGAGACATGGGAAGCTTAAAGAGCCATCAGACCCCAATACAAATCTGTCTCTGAGTGAAGGAGACAGAGGAGGAAGGAATGTTGGGTGGGAATATTTAAAATGACTGAGCAATCAAAAGCTCAGCAAGCTCCTGAGGCTCAGCTGGTTATCACAAGAAAACAATATTTCTAAGGATGGGTCTACCTTATCATCCCTGCCTTGTTCAGTCACTGACTGGGAACAGCTCATGGGAAGGAAGGCCTGGATGCACAAACAGAGATGAATTTCAAGCACAACAGCTGGACCATCCATTATGTAAAATCCTTCTTATTGGAGCATCTGCAGGGTACACTATCATGGCCACCATGATCATGAACAAGAAGATGGATTGTATTTTCCAAGTATCACTTTCAGACTCAAAAGTGCTCTATGGTAAAGCAGGGGAGAAATGCACTTCTTTGGAAGAGCCATCTTTTCCTCTAGCTTTGGTCTGGTCATTTGTCAATATCAGGATACTGTCTTCTGTTCTCATTAAATTCTCAAGCAAGTGGAATTTGATGAAAACTTGCATTCTCAGGATAAGGCATTCTGATAGTGTAGTGGTTATGAGTTGGGATGCTAATCTCATGGTCAGCAGTTCAAAACTACCAGTAGTTCCATGAAAGAAAGACGAAGCTTTCTGCTCCCGTAAAGATACACAGCCTCAGAAACCCTATACAGGGTCACTGCAAGTTGAAACTGACTCTACAGCACATCACCACCACCACCATCACCATTACCACCACCACCACCACCACCACCATCACCATCACTCACAGGCAGACCCACATGTGCAGACACAAAAATGCACTTATTCAGAGGTGACTCATTCTCAGTTAACTCCTAGAAGTTGAAGAATCCTTTCTTAGATTACCTAGCATTGAATCTTGGGTCACCAAATCTGTTGCTACTGAATCCATTCCCACTCATAGAGACCCTACAGGACAGAGTAGAACTGCCTGACAAGGTTTCCAGGCTTTAAATCTTTACAGAAGCAGACAGCTGCATCTTTCTCCCATGGAGCAGTTAGTGAGTTCAAGACACCAACATTTTGGTTAGCAGCCAAGTGCTTAACTGAGCAATCTAAGAATTGCCTTGGGCTCATTTAAGTTACTGAACAATTCAGTAATTGTCATTCTAGGAAGTTCAGATTACCTAGGCATGGAGGACAAAAGAGCATATTCACCCTGTGCTTGAGATTACTCTCCATTCCACAGGCCCTAATATATTGGGGAGAACTGGAGTGGAGCAGGTCCCCCATGCAGAAAGTTTGAAATCCAATAGGTAGGATGGTTATTGAGAACCTAATATTATACTAAAAGGTAGAGCAGAACTGAGTATATTGTATCATCCCTACCCCTCATGAACTGACAATAGCACACTATCAGTCATAAATTCTTTTAGTAAATGTTCACTTAGTGAACATTGACTTTATTTGAAGCATCATGCATGGTATTAGAGATGCTGAGATGAATAAGACCCAGTGTCTGACCTCAAGGGACGCCACTCACTGTGGTAAAAGAGATGGACATGATTCTAACTAAACTGCAAGAAACCCATGGAAGACAATGAATGACTCAGTGGAGGAAGAGAGCAAGTAATTGAAGTGTCCTTGAACTAGATTGTGAAGGATGACTATGACAAGTTACAAAATGACCTATGGAAGAATGGGCAGCTCACATACTAAAGTCATGGGGAACTAAAGCAGTATGAATCTGGTAAAGAATAAAGTGAAAATCAGAATAGAAATTGTCTATGTGCATGAGTATATCTCTAGAAAATATGGTCCAGGTTATAAAATATATTTATACATAAATAATGTATGTGCTTTGATATAAGTCAATTCAGTTATGCACTACAGAAAGTTAGAGATGAGGTTGTAATGAACATAGATTCACATAAAAATCAGGAAGAACCTTGTACTAAGGAGACCCACCATTGGCCCTACTGAGATTCAGGCAGAGCAGTGAGCCAGTGAGTTCAGATTTTAGAGTCCCCCAATCTTCAGCCACTTGTGTTGCTCAAAAATATTCTGGGACTTAGCGCCATATTTAATCAACACCTGTCTACTTATCATTAGATTATATGCCTAGAGTCATGTTCAGTGTACTGAGCACAGGCTCTAAAGTTGGGCTACTCGGGTTTATTCATCAGGATCCCAGTAGGAAAACAGATGGGCCCCTCTAAAGGGATAACTGACAAGAGTTGACTGAAAGGACCATTTGTGAAGGTTGTGGACAGGATGAAGGGAAACCAACAGATGGTGCAAAACACCATATGGTAGGGGTTTCACCACTTCACGACCTGAAGAAGCAGGGGAGGGGGCATACCCTGAACTAGCAAGTCCTGAAGAAGCAGGGGAGGGGGCATACCCTGAACTAGCAAGTCCAGAGACAGCAGAGATAGGGTGCTGGAGGAGATAAAGGGGAACATTACCCATGAGCCCTCTCCTTGTGCTTCCCTCCCATTTTCTGCTAGTGCTTCCTAGTGGCAGAACCTAGCTGTTATCCAGAGGCAAAGACATAGTAGCAAATCTGAGGATCAGCCTCCCTGGTGGAACAAATTGAGATAGTAAAAGAATAGCCAGCACATGGGGTAGAACCCAGGCTCAAACACTGATTAGTAATGTGACCTTGATCAGGATACCTAACTTCTAACTTCTCCATATCCTGGCTTCTTCTTTTGTAAAATGGGAAATAATAGTATCTACATCATGAAATTATTGTGATGACTAAGGCACTTAATTCACTGCAAGGTAAATATAAAATGCTACCAATTTTTATTAGGACAAGAACCAAGGTTCTGTTATTCTCCACATTTAGTAGGTAAGACGGCTGAGGCACAGAGTCATTGAGTGGCATATACAATTTCTCACACATCTGCTTAAGTGGCAGAGGCCGAGTTCAAACAGTGGGATTCCAGAAGCCAGACCAATAAGATTTATGGAGACTTGAAAGCCCATCCCTCTGGAAAGCCTGCCCTGACCATCTCAGCATACTGTCTTTCCTTCTTTGAACACTTCCAGCACATTGTTGTTGTTGTTGTCAGGTGCTATCAAGTCAGAACCGACTCATAGAGACCCCATGCACAGCAGAACGAAACAATGTCCGATCCTGGGCCAACCTCACTACCGCTGCCACACTTGATGCCATCAATGATGCCACCTGGCTGATCCATCTTGTTGGGGGTCTTCCTCTTTTTCTCTGACCCTCCACCTTACCCAGCACATACTGCCCAACAACTCTCTGCCCTGCATTATGTTGTTGTTGTGAAGTGTTGTTGAGTTATTGTGACCCATAGCGACCCTGTATAGGGTTTCTGAGGAGCAGCTGGTGAGCTTGAACCACCGACCTTACAGTTCAAATGACTTTGAAGTCTGGCGCATTAACCCACAGTGCCACACCGGTACTCCCTGCATTATAGAACACAGAATATTGTGGTTGGAACAATGACTACCCATAAAAGAACATGTCATTTGTATCTTCTCTTCCCCTCTAGTTGTTCTGGATAGTTGTCCTGTTGCCTGCATCCAATCTTCCTAATCCCCCATCTCCATCCAACTCAATACTTACCTTGGACCTAGATTGACCCTGCTGTCTTCTAACTTGGTCTTTAAATTGTCACTTGGAGGGGAAGGAGAAGGAATTCCTATACATCCTCATCATAATAGGTAGAAGAGCTGTAGGAGAGCATGTGTCTGGACATGTTCAGAGAAGACTGAGGTGGTCAAGGAAGGCTTTCTGGAAGTATGGATTTGCACTGGGCTCTGAAATCTACATAAGTGTCACGAGTCAGAAACAGAAGGGCTGTTTCACAAAAAAGGAACCATTCTGCTCAGCTATAACCCTTCCCTAGGTTGGGGGAAGACAGAGGGCAGTGGAGTCCAGAAGCGTTCTGTCATTGGTGAGGTGCCTCAGTGCTTGTGTGTACAGGTGGTGGGATGAGGGGTGGGGTTGGGGAAGGCAGATGGGGAAATCCTCTCTTCACGTAAATTGCTTTTATGTGAAATTGTGGCTCTGACAATTATCTTACCTACCAATGGTTTTCTTACAGGCTTCTAATTTTAATGCATGATTTTCAGTGAAAGTTTTTATCACTTTGTTTTTCAGATTTCAAGACCCTCTGTCTTGTGCAAATCAATGTTATTGATATCAATGATCAGATCCCCATCTTTGAAAAATCAAATGTGAGTAGTTGCCACTTTTTTTTAACTTCATATTACATAATCCCTACTTACTGCTTGACGAAGACGCAGATAATAATTAGGGAGAATGGCAAGCTTCACAGGTTGTTGTTGTTGTTATGTGCTGTCGAGTCGATTCCAACTCATAGCAACCCTGTATAAGGTTTCCAAGGAGCGACTGGTGAGTTTGAACTGTCTACCTTGTGGTTCAAACCAACCTTATGATCAAGAGCTTATTCTACAGTGCCACGCCAGGACTCCCTTAGTAAATGCATAGGTAAGAAACTCAGACCAACAGTGGAAATCTTTAGGAATAATATTCATGTTATAGTATCTGAGAATGTCTGTTTATAAACTCCAGCCCACAGTTCCTTCAAAAGCTGCTTAGAAGTTACAATCACAATCTCTGTCAAATGGCAAGGATTTATAGGACCACTTGCTGTTTGTTGCTAAAAGCAATTTTATGTGTTAGGATTAACAATAGACTACTGTTGTTAAGTGTCATTAAATTGACTCGGACTCATAACAACCCTGTATAGGGCTTCTGAGGTGGGTTTGAACTACCGACCATGTGGTTTGTCCAGTGCTGATCCTACAAATAGACTACTGTTGTTGTTAAGTTCTGTCAACTTGGTTCCAAACCATGGTGACCCTATATAGGGTTTCCAAGGAGCATCTGGTGAGCTTGAACCACCAGCCTGGTGGTTCAAATGACTTTGCAGTCCAGCTCATTAATCCACAACACTACACCAGGACTCCAAATAGACTACTAGTAGGCCTCAAATAAGTATTTTTAGTAAAACAAACAGCTTAAATTTGGAATATTGAAAACTTAAACCCATTTTTCAATAGTTGGGTGAAAGCAAAAGAAAAGAACAAACAAATCTCTAACTTAAGCCAAAGAAAGCTATGTGCCAGGCATTTACAAGACTTAGAAGAAGTGGTCAGAAACAGTCTGAGTAAAAGATCAATTTAGAACATCAATAAATATGCAAATGATTGTTGACTTTTTATTGATGTGGACTTTAGACTTGGTGGGAGTTTTACCACCACTTCTCTTAAAAGGGATGTCTTTGTTTATTTTGAAGCAGAGAGAGAAGCCTATTTAACTAAATTGTGTCATGTTTGAAGTCAGTGGTGAGGCAGCCCAGAACCCTGTGGTGACATTCATAAATCAAAATAAGAACAAGGCTGTGACAATAAAGGGAATTGATTTATGAGGGGGCTTGTGGCAGTAAGAGGTGTGACTGAATGTAACTTGTCTAACAAGCATTGAGGTTAAGCAAGCTTGAGATAGAGTCCATTTCTTCTCAGCCCCCATCCTCCTGGGTTTTTTATTCTTTTCTGTGTCATGATTTTCTTGCATCACATCTAGATGGTGTTTCTTAGACTGAGGGTAAGAATCCTGGTTTGGGGATGTCATGAAGGGAGGATGATTTCAGAGTTTAGAGATCAAATCTGGGCTATAGGGGCAGGCTGAGCCTGCTTTCTTTCATTGCCATCGTATTTCCTGGACCGCACCTGTTACCATCTTTAAGATCTTGGTGTCCAGAGAGATGACCTGCAGGATGTTCAGTGAGGACAGGGAAATGATCCAGGCCAGTGATTTAAAAGCATAGGCTTTGGAGTTTGAACAGATGTGTGATTGAGTTCTGTGACCCACTTTCTGTGTGACTGTGGGTAGATTTAACCTCTTCACTCTTGGTAAAATGAACATGGTAATATAGCTATTCTGTAGGGAATATTGTTTTGCTTACTTGATTGAGCACTTTTTAAATGTCAATCTTTCCCTGGCATTGCATGCATTATCTCTTCATCTTCATTACAAACATGACCTAGATTCTACTCATTATTCACTTCATTAGACAGATGAGGAAACTGAGACTTAAAGAAGTAACTTGCTGTAAGTCCCCCAACTAACAGATGGTTAGCCTAGGATTCATAGTGTGGTGCTACAGGGTACGCACTGGGCTGATAGGCTGATTTGAACTACAAATTTAGTGGTTCAAACTCACCACCAGCTCCTCAGAAACTCTATGCAAGATCGCTATGCATTGGAACCGACTTAACAGCACTTAACAACAAGGATTCATAGTCAAAGTTTAAGTGTTTCACTGCTACACCTTGGCTGATTTAAGAATTAATTAAAATAATATATGTTAAAAGTGCCTATCTCATTGTAGGTACTCAAAACATGTTGTTGGTGGTAAGTACCATCAAGTAGTTCCGACTCATAGCAATCCTACATAGATTTCCAAGGAGTGGCTGATGAGTTTGAACTGCTAACATTGAGGTTAAAACCAACCTAATAGTCCAAAGCTTATCATACAGTGCCACAGCAGAACTCACTCAAAACATAGTGGCTGTTTGTGTATGTCATTAGAGTCCACTGCCACCAAGTCAATTTCAACTCTAATTGAACCCATGGTGGTGGTGGTTATGTGCTGTGGAGTCAGTTTTGACTCACAGCAACCCTGTACATGATTTCTGAGGCTGTAAATCTTTACGGGAGCAGAAAGCCTCATCTTTCCCCCTTGGAACAGCTGGTAGTTTTGAACTGCTGACCTTGCAATTCACAGCCCAATTCATAACCACTATGCTACTAGAGCGCCTTAATTGAACCTATAGGACAGAGTAAAACTTTCCCATAGAGTTTTTGAGGCTCTAAGTCTTTATGGAAGCAGACTGTCTCATCTTTCTTCTGTGTAGAGACTGGTGGATTCAAGCTACCAACCTTTCAATTAGCAGTCTAGTACTTTAATCCCTGTGCGTAAGAGCTCCTATTTATGCCATTGCTATTATAATCATTACAATTACTAAGCATATTAGGAGTCCTGGTGTGGCGCTGTAGGATAGGTACTAGACAGCTCAAAGGTTGGCAGTTCATACTCTATACAGGGTAGTTATGAGTTGGAACCCACTTGATGGTGTTTAATAACAACAATAAGCATGTTGGAGTCCTGGTGTGGTGCTGTAGGATAAGCACTAGACTTCTAACCACAAGGTCAGTGGTTCAAACCCACCAGTTGCTCCTCAGAAGCTCTATATAGGGTTGCTATTAGTTGGAACCAACTCAACAGCACTTAACAACAACAACAACAACAAATCACGTTGTGTGTGAGGGGGGAAATAAATTTTAGAATCCTAATATAGCTCTCTGAGATGTTGTATCTCTTTGTAAAATGACTATCAGGCCATGAGTATGACTGAAGTCAGAATCAAGTGCAACATATTTATCAATAAGAAAAAGATGCTGGACAATATTGGTGCAAACAATGCCTTACTTCCATTCTGGAGCCAAAGAGACAAGTTGGTCTTTTGACAATTTTAATCGATGACAATAGATATTCTCATTGTTTCCTTTTCTGCTTCCTCTTTAGTATGGAAACCTGACTCTTGCTGAAGACACAGTTGTTGGGTCCACTATCTTGACCATCCAGGCCACTGATAATGATGAGCCATTTACTGGGAGTTCTAAAATCTTATATCGTATTATCGAGGGGGACATTGAGGGGCAACTGGAGATTGACACAGATCCCTTAACCAATGCTGGATATGTCAAGATTAAAAAGGTAAATAAATAGCCCACTTAATGGGATTTTTCGCTTTGTGTATTAGTTTATTTATGATTGTATGGTGTTATATAAGAAAGAATGATATATTAGCAGTGATGTCTCAGGTGTGAAGGACCGAAGGCCAAGTAGTATCCTTATCAGAAGGAGGTAAGGGTGCCAATAAAATATAGGGGTGAGTCAAAACTTATCTGTACTGTGGCTGCAGAATGTATTTTAATCAAATTTTAGAAAAGACAAAGACACATTGTTTTTATATCATCCCCTTGTTTTTCAATACACTTTGTCCATCTGTCAACACACTTTTGTAATTCCTTATTTAAAAATGTTTTAGGCTGAGCTGCAAGTCATGAATTCATCATTGTTTTCACTTCTTCATCAGAGGTGAATCATCATCCTCAAAGGGCTGCTTTCAGGGGACCAAACAGGTGAAAGTCCAATGGAGCAAGATCAGAACTATAGAGAAGAAGCTTTAACACCTCCAAACTAAGTTTTTGCAGAGTGTCAACAGTATGGGCACAGGTGTACAGACATACATTGTCATACAAGATCACAAGGCCCTTGGATAGCAGTCCTCTGCATTTAATCCAAAGTTTTGGCTTCAGCTCTTCAGTGAGCAGCTCACTGTACTGAGCATTGTTGAGTGTTGAACCTTTTTCTTGATAGTGGTCCAACGCTAGCCCTTGAGAATCCCAGAAAACTGTAATCATCAATTTTCCAACTGATGGTTGACTTTAGAACTTTGTCTTGGTCAGCAATTGAGGATGTTGCCATTCTATACTCTGCCATTTACTCTCAGGCTCGTAGTGATGCATCCATGTCTGGTCACCAGTATGATGTTGGTAAAGTGGAAGGTCATCGAAAAAGAGGAAGACTCCCAAAAAGATGGATTGGCATAGTGGCTGCTCAAGTGGGCTCAAGCATAACAGCAAATATGAGGAAGGTGCAGGACTGGGCAGTGTTTCATTCTGTTATGCATAATGTTGCTATGAGGGAACCGCCTACTGTACCTAACAACAATAACAACAACAACAACAATCTTTATAACAGCAGATAGTTGGTCTTTCTCCCACAGAACCACTGCTGACTTTTTGGTTGTAGTCTAGTGCTTAATCATTGTGCCACCAAGGCTTATTGGATTCTGGATTATTGTTGTTAAGCACCATTAAGTTGGTTCCAACTCATAGTAACCCTATATAGGGTTTCTGAAGGTGTAAATCTTTGCAGGAGCAGAAAGCCTCATCTTTTTCCTTTGGAGTGGCTGGTGAACTTGAAAATCAACCTTGTAGTTCGCAGTCTAGTGTTTATCTGACAGAGCACAACAAATGTTAGCCAACTGCCCATAGGATGTAGAATACAACTAAGACAGATGTCTTTCTTTTCACTATTTTTATTGACATGTTTTAAATAAATTACAGATTAGAATGTGGTCTTTTGTGTATGCCCTAGCCTTACTTCTAAGTAAGGCCTTGCCCTTTAAGCCATCTGGGGACTATCATTACTTCAGAACCATCTGTCAATCAATCATTCAAAATTACATTTCTTAATCACAATTCTGTTCAGCAGCTGTTCATTCACATTGCAAATTTGATAATCTCAGGTAAAATTCACTGAGGACTCCTGTCACATAACTGCAGCTTATTGCATTTCATGAAGCAATTCTATATAGCCTCTACCTCGCTTCTCATGCCAAGACTGAGGGAGGCAGAGCAGAAAGAAACCCCACTGCACAAAGAAGGTTCAAGCCCACGAGGAGACAGTCAGCTAACTCTGAAAGATGATAACCGAATCCCTAGATTGCATGTGGCTGGCCTCGTTAACATCACAGGTGCCAACTTGACTTCAGCCTTGACTCCTCTTGAGGCTGGTGGTACCACTTATTTAAGATATATGATCTTAGAGAAACCATGTGATCTCTCATACCTCAGTGTTTTGATCTGTGAAAAATAGGTAGCACCTTCTTAAAGGATGGAGAAATACTGGAAGAGTAAATGAATATGATAAATGTAATTGATAACAAGCAGAGTTTAATCAAGGACAAACCTTGTCAAACTGTGTGCATCTTCTGGGAGGTGGGGAGTCATCTGCAAAGCTGTCTTAGTGCTACTGTAAAAGAAAGATCACAATTGGATGCTTTTAACAAACAGAATTTTTCTCTCTCATAGTTTAGGAGGCTAGAAGTCCAAATTAAAAGCACTGGCTCTAAAGGAAGACTTCCTTTCTTTGTCAGCTCTGGGGAAAAGTCCCTGTATCCTTTAAGCATCTGCAGGCCCAACATTCCTTGGGGGATCTCCCTGTGTCTTGGCATTGATCTCCTCTGAATGTAGGAGTTTCACATTTCAGGGACCCCAGGTCTAAAGGATGTAGTCCACTAGAAGTTCTTCTTTTTGGTGGTAGTAAAGCCCTCTGAGCTCTGCTTGCTTGTTTCATCTCTTTTATATCTCTATTATATATAATAAAGGTTGACTCAAGATACAACCTAATCCCTAGATTGCATGTGGCTGGCCTCATTAACATCACAGAAGTGAGGATTTACAACACAGAGGATAGTTACATCAGATCAGAGCTGATCACATCAGATCACATCACTAGGGATGAGTACACCATCCCATAACTGCCACATTACAGCATTATATAACTGCCAAGCCACAAAGAATCATGGCCCAGCCAAGCTGACACATATTTTGGGGGAATACAAATCAATCCATTACATTAGCTAACTCAACAGAACAAGTTGCAGTTTTGTAAATGCAAAACTTCCTGGTGGTGGTGGTGTGCCATGGAGTTGGTTCCGACCCATAGCGACCCTGTATTGGGTTTCCGAGGCTGTAAATCTTTACAGGAACATAAAGCCTTATCTTTCTCTCACAGAACAGCTGGTAGTTTCAAACTACTTACCTTAAGGTTAGCAACCTGACTCATAACCACTACGCTACCAGCTACATACATAGCTCTTATTGCCACGTCCAAGAGATTAAAAAAAAAAAGAATCCACTGTCTTCAAGTCGATTCTGAATCTTAATGACCCTGTTGTTGTTATGTGCCGTGGAGTCAGTTCTGACTCATAGCAACCCTGTACAGGGTTTCCGAGACTGTAAATCTTTAAGGGAGCAGAATGCCTCATCTTTCTCCCGCGTAACAGCTGGTAGTTTCGAATTGCTGACCTTTTAGTTCACAGCACGATTCGTAACCACTACGCTATCAGAGCTCCTTTAATGACCCTGTAGGACACAATAGAACTGTTTCTTAGGGTTCCAACTCTGTAGGGTTTCTGAGACGATAAATCTTTATGGGAAGAGAGAGCCTCATCTTTCTCCCAAAGAGCAGCTGGTGGTTTCAAACCACTTACCTTTTGGTCAGAAGCCAGTGCTTGATTCATCGCACCACTAGGGTGCCATATCTAGCACTGGTAAATTCAATACATGTTAAGCATTATCTTGTGTTGTGTTGGTGTTAAGTGCGTTAATTATGATTAAAGAAAGGGCCTGAAGCCAGGCTTTCTGTCTTTGGGACCAATGTGCTTTCCCCTATTGCCTAATGGGGTCAAACTTCCAAATCCAGGGGTCAAACTGTGCACAACTGGGACTGCTGACTCAGTGTCCCTAGGAGAGGCCTGGGAATAGTGATCTTAACACATGTCCCAGTTAGAGTGGCGTCTGCTCTGATTCATTGTGACTCTGTGTGTGTCAGAGTAGAACTGTGCTTTTCTTCTGAGGTGTCTCTGAGTGGACTCAAATTGCAAATCTTTCTGTTAGCAACCAATTGCACTGCTTGTGCCACTGAGGGATTCCTAGGAATGTTTAGGGTTGAATATGCTTAGGAAGTGCTGCCATGATCTGTATTGACTGCTGCCGAGACCTCTGACCTGTGCTGTGGCAGACCCTCACACCCCTGGAGCTGTGGGGTGTTAGGAGTGGGAAGGCTAACTTTTGAAACCTGTTGGTCTCACCTGTAATCTTCCTAGGTTCCTCTTTCCTGTCACCACTGATTTTGGCATTCATGGTTTCAATCCTTTTTTAATTTTAAAAAATGTCACTTCTCCGTTACGGCTGGTCATTTTGTGCTTTCAGTTCATGACCTAATTTCAGTCAGTCTGTGAGTCATCTGAATGAACATGCACACTTCTTCCTCATCACTGACTATTAGTGAAAATGTTAAATACCCCCCTTGTCTCAACCTTCTCCCTGAACACTTTATCTCTGCCTCCGGGTGGAATCTAAATCAATGAAGTTGACCTTTCAAGCAGTTGTGAGCAGAAGACAAATTGCGGCACAAACATGTTTTTTTTTTTTTTTTTTCCAGTTTATTTGATGATTATTTTGCATCAGACAGGACCTAAGGCATGCCAAGAGGCCAAGATGGTGCTGTTGACTTGGCTCTATGGGCACATCCCTGAGTCATGGTAGATAGCACATGCGGTTTGACAAGGCTTCTCCCTGATAAAGCTCTGCTGATTATCATTACTAGTTTAGTATCCTCTACTTCCAATTCTTTCCTTCAGCGTTCAGCGTTTTTTCCCAGGTGTGGCAGTTAAGCAGACTCATCAATATGCAGGCTGCTCTTTTTGCATGTGTTCTTCCATTCATTATGGTCTCTGGGGGGCACAAATGGTTTGCACTTGCCACCCAGTGTTACCATGAAAGAATGGCCTGGTGATCTGCTTTTGTAAAGGTCGCAGCCAAGAAGCAGTCCTATGGTGCAGTTCTACTCCAAAGCACATGGCGTCACCATGAGCTGGAATTGACTTGATTGCTACTAGAAGGTCAAACACAGGGTGTCAGCTCTAGGAGAAAGGTCCTGTCTTTCGTGACCAGGGCATTCCTTATGGATCTCTGTGAGCCTTAACACATAAGTCTTCCCCTGGGTCTATGAGGTTCTCAGCACAGGGACTCCAGGTACAAAGGAAACAGGATACCTTCTACTCCAGACTCTTCTTTCTTAGCAGTAGTCAGTCTCTCTCCAGATTCTCTTCTCTCTCTTTTTGTCTCATAAGGTAAAAGATGTGACTCCAGCAAGAGTGTGGTTTGAGTAAAGGTATGACTTGAATCCTTAAGTAAGGATGGGGCTTGAGTCATTCCTTCTTTTTTTTTTTTTATATGTAATTTTTTTTTCATGTTTTATTGTGAATTATATATTTTACATGAGAGAACTTTAGTTTTACATTCATTCCATTGCATATAGTCTCATTGCCATGGTTCCAGTCCCCTCCATGCATCATCAACCGACCAAAGGGTATATACCCTATAAACCGTCCCCTACACTCCCCCCGCCCCCATTCTTCAGCACACAGTCCCTCTCCCTCTCTGGATCCAAAGTCCCCACCCGCTTCATCACTCCACATCATCCCTGCCTCCATCTTGGGCCTCGCCTCGCTGCTTCTCTGGGTAGGGTCCCGCTCTCAGCTTTTCTCTGTTGATGGTCCCAGAGACCTCCGCTCCTAGACTGGAGAGTTAGTAACTCCCTTCCTTGCTACCAAACGTCTACCTTTACATTTCCAACCCTCACAATCAGTCCTGATAATAATCATTCACTATTGTATCACAAGTGACCCTTCTGCATTTCATTTCATCAGCTCCGCCTAGACAGATTGGATAGTACTCACTGGAGATTCTGCCTTCCTCCATGCCCCCTAGCTCTAGGTTCCCTCTTGAAAGCTTGTAAGCCAGTTACTTTTTGCCTTTTTGGTCCCTCCCCCACATTTGGGTTGTCCAAGTCCAAGGCAATGTCCAAGTTGCCCATCTCTATCTACTCTGTATATGGAGGGGGTGGGAATGTTTCTTGCTGTGAGGGTTTGTTCCCTCTTTTGGGTTACTGCATCCATAGGTGTAGGTCAAGCTCATCAAATTATCTCAGATCACTCTTTTTTTTTCTCTCCCCTCTTCTTTCTTCTCCTGGTTGAGTTCTGATCATCCATTCATCGGGACCAGGTCACATGGGTACCATCTGCAATTGTGGGTGTTCTTGTGCGTATGCCCTCTCTTTCTATCAGCTGGTAGCTTCACTCTCCACTCTAGTCCTGTGTGGCCATGCCACTGACTCTGGGCCCAGGAGTCCCCAGGTCTCCCCACACTGCTGGGCCATTCCTTCTTGTAATGCTGTGACTCAAGATCCAAGCCATCAAATCCTTCCTTATAAACTAAAAACCAAAAAACCACACCTACTGTAGTTTAGTCGATTCTGATCCACTGTGACCCTATAGGACAAAGCAGAACTACCCCATAGGCTTTCAAGGCTATAAATCTTTATGGAAGCAGACAATTTGATCTTTCTCCTGTGAGGTGGCTTGTAGGTTTGAACCCTTGACATTGAGGTCAGAAGTTCCAAGACGACCTACTGAGGCATCAGGGCTCCTTCATTAACACATAAAGGTTAGAATTTACAAGATACATCATAAAATGGAAGATAATTACATCAGATCATAAAATGAGGACAACCACACAATACTGGGAATTGTGGCTTATCCAAGTTGACACATTTTGAGAGGACACAATTCAATTCATGACACCATCCTTCACACAGTAATTGCCAGAGTTATCTTCCTAAAACACAAATCTGGCCTTGCCAGTGTTGTATTTAAATAGCTTTTTTGGCTCTTTAAGGATAAAGTCCAAATTCCTTAGCTTAACATACACAATCTTCTCCCATCTCCTTATAGTCTTTGCCTCTCTTAGTGAATTCTGTTTCTCGTTGGCTCACACATACTGCTTCTCATTTGTTGACTCATTTCCTTATCCCAGGTTTGTTTATGCTCTCCTGCTGCCTTAAATGTTCTTCTCACTCCATCAACTCAGTGAGGCCTAGGTTCATAGTGGGTAGGGGCAGAGACAAGAATCTCCATATGTTTTCATCTTAGTTCTTACTCAGGTAACAGAACCTGACCACCCTGTCTTGTTAAGGAGATGGAAACCCAACCAGACATGGTCAAAAGGTGAGGGAAGGATCTTTTCCATGTCCTTCCCCTCTGAGGACCACAGCCAGGGAAAGGAAACTTGGGTGGGTACTTAGACCTCTTTGGTGGTGAGGATAGAGTGTAAAGTCTCCATTGCCTAACCTTACAGACAACTCTGCTGCCTCCGAGCCTGGGCTTGGTTGCATCCACTGGAAGCTAGAGCCACATCCTTTGTCCATGTCAAAGGCTTTGTCTGGGGGCGGCTGCCTTCTTGCTCAGTCTGCCAGACTTTTATCTCAATTTGATGCCACCGTTGTCATCATCTGAGATAAGCAGTGGGTTGAAGAAGGCCAGGAGCTCCATTCCCAGGAGAAGAGCCCTATCAGACTATGTAGCAGTGATCCAGGTGTCATCTGAGGGTCATGTTCTGCAGATGGTATTTATCTCTATGAAAACCTCTCCTTTCACATCTTAGCTGGCTTACAAAGATGATTTTTATGTCCTGCATATTTTAAACAATGTCAATTGCTTCTTATTCTTTATCTCTAATAGCCTTGAGTCTTTATATGTGATTCTCTGATTTCACCATGAACAATGTTTCCATGGCATTTAGGAACTAGAGATATGGTGGAGATTTTGTGTGTTTGTTTGCTTTGGGAAGGGGGGTTTCTCTAGAATCTCTTCACTGTAGCTCTCCAGATAGGTCCTTCTCATCTATCTATCTCCTCATGGACATGCTGTGGATATTACATGTCGGAGAGGAGCTGAGAAGCAAAGATGATGAATACAGTGCAGGTCCTTCTCTCAGGGAGTTTACAGTCAGTGAGAATTTAAAATAAGTAACCAAACACTGAAAATATTGGTCTAGGAACTGCTGCTAGGTTTTAGAAATTATGGCCGTTTATCCAAGTGGAGATGGTGGGTGGCCATCAGGGAAGCTGGCATGGAGAGGCCGGTGCTGAGGGGAGAGCTGCAGATAGGGGGAAGGGTGAGTCAAGCCAAGGCAATCAGGGATCACTTTTTCTCCTCATGAATGGATATTATAATTTCAGTTTAGCAGGTAAGGAACCAACATAAATGAAAGGGCTGCCTGAGCTCCCGAGGAGTCCCATGTCCTCTTGCTTAGAAAACGGAATGAAATGGAACAGTTTCCATAATCCATAATATGCCTTTGGGGGTTTGATTGATTCTTTGACTCTTTCATCTTTTTGGGATCCTGGTTTCCTTTGAGAATCCAGGGAGAAGTTGCATGCTTTCTCCCTACAAAAAAATTCTCATATGCATTGTTGTTGTTAAGTGCTGTCAAGTTGGTTTCAACTCATAGTGACCCTGTATAGGGTTTCTGAGGAGCAAGTGGTGGATTTGAACCACCAACTTCAATGTACAGTATTCATAGTTCCATTGTTATTATTCCAACAAGCAGGTTTGTGCTGACACTGGATTGAGAACTGTTGCTCTGTATGAGCGTTTGTAAAAGCACACAGGGAATGAATCTCTTAAGGAAGCTCATCATCTATAATCATGGTGACCCTCTAGTGGTGCTGTGTTCAAATCAGCTTGATGACAATGGGTTTGGTTTTATGGGTTCAGTAGTCAAAAATTAATTTTCCCTCTTCTTCTTTTCTTTCACAGCCTCTGGATTTTGAAACGATACCTATTTTCAACATTATGGTCAAGGCAGAAAATCCTGAGCCTCTGGTGTCTACCTCAAAGTACAATTCAAGTTCTTTAGCCACATTCAAGCTTATGGTGACAGATGTAAATGAGCCACCCATATTCTCCCAACAAGTATTCCAAGCAAAAATCCAAGAGAATGCAACAATAGGCACTAAATTGGGCAATGTGACTGCCAAAGATCCGGAAGGTCTGGGGATAAGGTAAAGGGAGAACTTTGCTAGGCAGACTTGGTTGCATGCTGTAGCCAAGGCCACTGGGGAGGAGTTGGTGGGGTAGTGGTGCAGGGGGCTGGAGAGGAACAGAGAAGCTGGCATAATGGAAAGCCAACAATCTGAAGCACAGTGTCCCAATGCACATGCAATTTGGCCTTGGCTCAAGCAGCTGCCTGCACCCTAGTGGAGCATTCCAAGGGTTGGTGGTGCACCCATGAGGATCTGAGTGGAAAACAGCATCCTGCTTCTATTCCAGCCCCCTCACAGCTGGGTCCCAGCATTCAAGAGTCAGGAGCATCTCCTAGGGATGGGTGGGCCATGCCAGGCCTGTGTATAAACCAGTCATGTGAGCTGGGTGTGGGGAAGGGATTTAGTCCCTAAGTTAGACCAGAGTTCAAGACAGAAACAATGAGACAAAAGCCCAACTGTAGAAGCGAAGCCATCTGGCAAGGTAAAAGAAATCTTCTGGATGTAGGGTACATAGGTGCCCCAGCTTTTCAGAGAGCCGATCTGGGGCAGCAGGAGTCATCCCATACCTAGCCTTGGAAAGGTAGTTCTATGACTGCTGAACAGTGCTTGGATGAGAGCTGAGCCTGTTGATGGGGGGTTAGGGAATCATGAAGGAGAGTGTAGAAGGGCAGCCTGGTTCTTCTGTGATCTTCATTTATTGGGTTTATTCAACAAATATTGAACCACTGGGATCATTTTGGAAGAAAGCAATGGACAAATATTTCATATTCCTCCAACAATGTTTACAGTCTAGGAGTGGGTAAAGATAAATAAGGAGGCAATTCTAATGCAGTGCCATGCATTAGACATGACAGAGCTATGAAGGCATTTAGAGGAAGGGACTTCTGACCTAGATTTGAGGGATCAAAGAAGGCACCATGGAAGACAACAATGAAACCAAGACCCAAAATATCCAGTGAAGTTAGGCAATAGAGACACACACAGTAAGAGGGAAGGAAAAAGGATAATTTAGGCAAACAAATGTGCAAAGCTGAGAGGTGAAAGAACCTGGAAAATTCTGGGGACTATAGGAGTGTAGGAGCCCTGGTGGTGCAGTGGGCTAAGTATTAGGCAGTTAGTAGTTCAAAGCTACCAGCCACTGTACAAAAGAAAGACGAGGCTGTCTTCTCCCACAAACATGGACCATCTGGGAACCCCAAGGGGCAGACCCATAGGGTCGCTTGTGAGTCAGAATTGACCCAATGGCAGTGGAAGATGCTCCCATGAGTCTGTTGTGCTGCGGGTGGAGCAATCCTTTTAAAATGTAAGTCTGTTCATTTGACTCCTCTTTCAAAGCCCTAGATGGTTTTCCACCCTAAGGAGAGAGGGTTTCTTGTTCATCACCACAGACCCAGACTAATGAAGTACTTGACACATAGAATATACTTTTTAAAGAATTGAAAGAAATTAATTAATCAATATGCCATAACTTTTTAATCATTCTCTTATTCCTGGAGACATAATTATTTCCAGCTTTTTTAAATTACTATTATAGCATTTTTTTTTTTATAAACAGTCTATATAATTATTTTTTAACTTTTGTTAAATTGTTTTTTTTTTTAAAGGAAAACTTCCCAGGAGAATTATGTGGACATCCTCATAGCTTTTATGTGTCAGTTTCCAAAGGAAACCAATTGTTTTTTGTGTGTTTATCATGTCCTCAAATTTATCCTTTACTCAGCTACCACTGAGTTCAATTGAAAACACAAATCTACTGAGTCACCTACCTGCTTGTTGTTGTTGGTGTTAGGGTTGGTACCGACTCATAGCGACCCTATGAACAACAGAATGAAACACTGCCCAATCCTGGGCCAACTTCACAATGATTGCTAGGCCCGAGCCCATTGCTGCTGCCACTGTGCCAGTCCATCTCGCTGGGGGTCTTCCTCTTTTTCTCTGACCCTCCACTTTACCAAACATGATATCCTTCTGCAGCAACTGGTCCCCTTTGATAATATGTCCCATCTGCTTACTTAATGCCATTGGATGGCTGTCCATTTATTTCTGGGATCTGGCTCTCTTTGGTCTCTTGTTTTTGCCAGCTGCTGCCTCCCAAACATATTGAGCAGAGACTTTGCTGAAATGCCTGATTTCCACATACTCACCAAGATGATTTTTAGCTCCTCTGCCTTAGTTTAGGAAATCCCTCTGCATGACATGGCCCCATTCTTCTTGCTTAAGAAAAATGTAAGAAGCCCAAGTCAGTTGCCTTTGAGTCAAAGCCAACTGTTGGTGTCCCCAGGTGTTTCAGAGTAGAACTGTACTCCTTAGGGTTTTTAATGACTGTGATCTTTCAGAAGTAGATTGACAGACCTTTCTTCCAAGTTTTTTTGCTTTGTTGTTGTTTGGTGCCATCGAGTCAGTACCGACTCGTAGTGACCCTTTGCACAACAGAACGAAACACTGCCCAGTCCTGGGCCAACCTCATAATTGTTGCCACGCTTGAGCCCATCGATGCTGCCATTTTGCCAATCTCTCTTGCTGGGGATCTTCCTATTTTTCTCTGACCCTCCACTTTACCAAACATGATATCCTTCTCCAGGGACTGGTTCCTCCTGACAATATGCCTGAAGTATGAGACAAAGTCTGGCCATCTTGGCTTCCAAGGAGCGCTCTGGCTGCACTTCTTCCAACACAGATTGGTTTGTTCTTTAGGTAGCCCATGGTACTTTTAATATTCTCCTCCAACACCATTACTCAAATGCATCAATTCTTCTATGGTCTTCCTTATTCACTGTCCAGCTTTCGCATGCATATGAGGTTATTAAAAATACCATGGTTTGGGTCAGGCGCACCTTAGTCTTCAAACTAACACCTTTGCTCTTCAATACTTTAAAGAAGTCATGTGCAGCAGATTTGTCTAATGCATTTGACTTCTTGATTGCTGCTTCCATGAGTGTTGATAGTTGATTGGAGAAAGATGAAATCTTTGACAACTTCAATCTTTTCTCCACTGATAAGAATGTTGTTTATTGGTCCAGTGGCGAGGATTTTTGTTTTCTTTATCTTTGCTTTAGTTAGCATTTATTCCTTCAGAAAGACATTTCAGATTTTCATAAACTTGAATTGATTCCCATAAACATGTCTGAGATTCCATAGGGTTTCTCCCATTGTATATTTCACATTTAATTGGAATGATGTGTCTATTTCCTCTACTGGTCTAAGACCCCTCTTTCTAAATTCTTCCCTTGGCCTTATACTTATTAATAAGCTCTCAGTGAATGTTTGTAGAAGTACAGAATTCTTCAATTTCATACAATGTCTCCAGCATTGGGTGTTCAAGTTTTCTTGTTCATTTTGGAAGGTGTGGTTTGCTTGTTGTTGTTAAGTGCCATTGAGTCAGTTCTGACTCCTAGTGACTTCACATAGGGTTTTGGAGGAGCCACTGGTGGATTTAAGCCACCAGCCTTGCAGTAAAAACAAACCTTGCAGTTGAGTGCTCATCCTAAAGCACCACACCAGGACTCCTTTGTTATTATTAGGTGCCATCAAGTTGGTACCAATTCATAGAGACCCTATACACAACAGAATGAAACACTGCCCGGTCCAGGGCCAACCTCACAATTGTTGCCATGCTTGAACCTATTGATGGTGCCATTTTTCCAGGACTCCTAATAGGCTTTAAAAGATACCTACAGTTTGCTTTCATTTGAAATCTCCAATTGCCAATTTCTGTCTAGGGTTTCTGGCAGTGTTGTCGTAGTTAAGTGCCATCAAGTTGTTTCTTACTCATAGTGACTCTGTATAGGGTTTCCGAGAGCAGATGGTAGTTTTGAACTGCTGACCTTGCAATTAGCAGTACAGTGCTTATCTTACAGCTTCACATTATTTTATCTATCCTAATAAACCAACCACAATCACCAGCTTGTGAAGATGAATCAATTCACCTTTGACACAGGGATAAGTAAATAAAGCACTAACAATATTAATTGATTTTCCTTTAACTATATTAGGTGTGGCGCTGTGGGTTAATGCACCAGACTGCAAAGCCGTTTGAACTGCAAGGTCGGTGGTTCAAGCTCACCAGCTGCTCCTTGGAAACCCTATACAGGGTTGCTATGGGTCGGAACTGACTTGGTGGCACTTCACAACATATTAGAAATAGGAGCTCTGGTAGCATAGTAGATTATGAATTAAGCTGCTAACTACAAGGTCAGCAGTTCAAATCTACCAGCTGCTCTGCAGGAGCAAGATGAGGCTTTCTGCTCCTGTAAAAATTTATAGTCTCAGAAAGCTTATGCAGGGTCTCTGTAAGTTGGAACCAACTCCATGGCACATAACTACCACCACCATATTAGAAATAATATATCAATGACAATGTTGGCATGATAGTATAATGACACATAATGTATTTTCACATTCTGATTAATACATGTTTTCTTTCTGCTCTTTTCACTTTATGAAGGTATTCCCTGAGAAATGACTGGAGAGGTTGGCTCAGAATTGACCCTGTTACTGGTGAGATCTTCAGTGTGGCAAAACTTGACAGGGAAACTGAAAATGTGTATAGGGTTCAAGTCGTGGCCAGTGAAATAGGTGAGAAAAAAAACCAAACCACCAAAAATCAGAAAGCAATGGGAGATGGGGACAGGCAGGAAAGCGTCTCTGGGCAGATGTGCCAAAATACCAGTACTTTGAAGTAGAAGGTTTCCAGAGTGAAGGAGGTACTCACATCTTCTTGGTTTTGTAGCAAAAATAAGAACACCTGTGCCCCTTAGAACGACTTATTTGTGGCCAACCAACACCTTGTGGCAGTCAACCTTCTGGGGTTCTGCCCACTCTTGCAGCTTTTAAGGGCCATAGTTTCTAGGAAGGGTTCTTAGCCCCTGGATTAACTACCCCTTTGACTTGTTCTAAAATGGTTGTGGTGTTTCTCTAGGGAATGAGCAAGTTAGATGAGCACCACCCTGCCTACCTAGACCATTGTTTTTTCCTTCAGCCTTAAATCACAGCTCTGCAGAGCTCATCATGTTGGAAACAGAAAATGCTTTAATACAGTATTCTCAAATTTCTGTGTGTGTCAAAAACACCTAAGGAGCTTGCTAAATATAAAGACTGGAAGACCACCCTTGGTGATTCTAACTCAGATCTTCGGGTGGACCTGGGCATCTATGTTTTGGTGGAATAGGGTAGATTTTTGAAAAGGAAGACTATTATATTAGCCGAGGATGTTTGAACAATCCCCATGTAATTTTTGTAGTATCCTGCTCAATTCAGTTGTGGTGCTATATGCTACTGTAATTTTTACTTTAATTTTTTTGCTAAATAAAGAGAAGTATTTTTTCTTATTAAAAATGAGTCCCCGGGTGGGGTAAAAGGTTAACACTTGAGTAACCAAAATGTTGGCAGTTCAAGTCTACCCAAAGACTCCCTGGAGGACAGAAATGACAGTCTACTTCTGAAAACTCTGTCAATGAAAGCTCCGATGAAGCAGTTGTACTCTGCACACATTGAGCCACCAAAAGTCAGAGTTAACTCAAGAGGAGCTGTTGATTTTGTATTTATTTCATTTATTTATTTGCTTATTCACTTACTTATTTAAAAGGTTAATGAGAGAGTTGATGTGTGTTTTAATCATTCCATTCCTTAGGTGGTTCCTCCTTACAATCCATGGCAAATTTCCACCTGACTCTCACAGATGTGAATGACAATGCCCCAAGGCTCGTCAAGGAATACATAGGCTTGTTCATCTGTCATCCCCTCCACGCACTTGGAAGTTTTGTTTTAGAAGCCACTGATGCTGATCAGCAGTCATTTCGAGGCCCACAATTTGGATTTTCCCTTGGCAGCGACAGCCTACAAAAGGACTGGGACATTTCCAAAATCAATGGTGAGTTGCAAAAATTATATCAATCAAACCGCCAATGGATGAGAAAATGAAGTTTCAGTGGGCTGGCAATACAGAACACAGAGCTTCCTTTTATGTTCTAGAAAGAAAACTTATGTTGTTGAAACTGTGCGGGTAGCTCTCCAGAAGGAAGAATACCCTGGGCTTTAGAGGGAGCAATTTTCCACACAGCATCCCCACTAAGTGTATATCGAAAGCTGTAGCTTTCAAATTTCTCAATGAGAAGCAGATTTCATAATTTTTTTTTTAAAAAACAGCTTTATTGAAATATAATGAACACAATACACTGTCCACATTTAAAGCGCACTTTATAAGATTTGATATTTGCTTACAGATAGATACCCTACTAAAACTATCACCGCACTCAGGATAATGTTTCCATCACTCCCAAAAGTTTTTTCATGCCTAATTGGAATCCCTTCTTCTCAGTCTTCTTTGCCCATCCTCTGGCAACCCTTGACCTGCTTTCTGTGACTATAGGAGAGCTTGCGTTTATAAGAATTTTATCTAAATGGGTTAATGTCATATTACTCTTTTCGTGTCTGACTCCTTTCACTTACCATAATTATTTTGAGATTTCTCCATACTGTGATGTGTACTTTGTTCCTTTTCATTGCTGAGTAGTATTCCACTGTATGACTATACCACATTTTGTTTATACAGTCACCTCTTGATGGTCATTTAGGTCACTTCCAATTTTGGGCTATTACAAAGCAAGCTAATATGTATATTTCTGAAGAAGTATCTTGTAGGGACATACGCTTTCATTTTTCTTGATTGAATTCCTAGGAGTGGGCTGAATAAGCTATATAATACACACCTGGTTAACTTTTTAAGAACTGATCTCCAAAATGTTGGTAACATTTTACACACCCAGTAGCTCATTCCAACCCATAGCGATGATGGGTTTCTGAGGAGCAGCTGGTGAGCTTAAACTACCAACCTTGCAGTCCAGCACATTAACCCACAGCACCACACTAGTATCATAATGTTAGCAAGGTTGGCAGTTCAAACCCCCCAACCTATAGAAGGTTGAGATGAGTCAAACCAACTTGACGGCACTTAACAAAAACAATAACAGCAGGAGTGTAGTAGTATCACATATGATTTTAACTTCCATTTGTTTAATGACTAATGGTGTTGAATATCTTTCCATGTGCTAATTTGCCATCATGTATCTTCATTGGTTTGGACTCCTGGTGTGGCCCTATAGAATAAGCACTGGACCATAAGGTCAGTAGTCTAAACCCACAAACTGTTCCTCAGAAACCCTAGACAAGGTGGCTTTGGGTTGGAATCGACTTATTGGCACTTCATTGGTTTAGTATCTGATCAGATGCTGTTCTAATTTTTAGAAGTAGACTCTTTGACTCAGACTGTTGAGTTATAACTGTTCTTTATATATTCTATATACAAGTGCTTTGTCAGATATATGTTCTGCAGATATTTTCTCCAGGGTTAAGGCTTGCACTTCCATTTTTGTAAAAATTTCTTTTGAACAGAAAAAAATTCTAATTTTTGATGAAGTCTGATTTACTTTTTTTTTCTCATATAATTTATGATTCCTTTGTATGGTGTTTAAGAATTTTTTTTGCCAAACCCAAGGTTACTAAAGCGTTCTCATATATTTTTCCTAGAAGCTTTATAGTTTTAACTTTTGCATTTAGTTCTATGATTCACTTCAAATTAATCTTTTGTTTTAACTGTTTTATTGTGATTTGAGTGAAAGTTTACAGAGCAAATTGATTTTCCATTCAACAGTTCAAACATATTTTGTTTTGTGACACTGACTACAACCCCCACAATGTAGCAGCACAATGCCACTTCCTCCATGTGTTTATTGTTTCCATTCTTCCTTTTCCCCATCCTACCTTGCTATCTGAGCTTTATTCCTGGGCAAATGCTGCCCTTTGCATCTGGTATGGTTGATTGTTCTAAGGAATGTGTATCTTTTTTTTTGATGATAGTAGGAGATTTTAACACACTACTTTTTTTCTTTTCTTAAATGTTTTATTGTGAATTATGTGATAGTTTACATGGGAGAACATTAGTTTTACATTCAT